AACGACTCTTTCTATGCCGCGATAGCAAATCTGGTTCCGAGAACCTCTCCCATCGGAACAAGATATATCACAAAAATTAGTGTAAATATACCTATATGCATGGCACAAACCTATTTTCAACCATATCCGCCTTCTCTGTTCGACTGGATACTTCGGCTCGAGCCCCATAAGTACGTCTTCTTCATCTGGATCCATCATATGCGCACACTCCTTTGCCATGGTGATTCCTTCTTCATTGAAGGCCTGAACAAATCAAATTAATATGACTAGAAATCCTTGCAAACCGGACTACTTACCTTCAGCGCTAAATCTACAGCATCACTGAACATCTCAGAGACACAATACAGGTAAACCGTTGATTTTTCAAGCTCTATAAAAAACTTTGGTAATATATTCTTACATACATGTTCGAATGGACTCACTATGCTGTACACAAGTCCGTAACGCGAAATCCAGATCGTATGGTATAGCCGTTTTGTCAAGACCGCACTTAACCAAATATTCATGCAACCGTTTCGGACGGAACTGCGCGTACAAAACCACCAAAAGATTGTGTAAATCAACATCGTTAGCTCCGTATTGGGTAGTCACTGCCCACTCAATATATTTCAAAGCATGGGCAGCCTAAAACGCAAACACAATAATCTTCGAAGTAAACACCGAGTCAGGAGGAGGCAAACCATCTCTGTAGACTCCTGGCACAAACACAACGTGGGAATCATTTTCTGCGGTCGCAGTCGTTCATTTCCAATGATACTAGCAAGCAGTTCCATAGAAATGAACTTCACCAACTTTGGGGAATACTTGTAATAGAATTCAGGAACATTCTAGAAGAAGGCTTGTCAAACATGGGATGTGAAAATTTTCTGAAAATTATTGACCTGCGTTTTCAGCACTTCCAGAGCTTCTCTGTAATGTTCCCTCATAATGTGGATCTCAATGACCCTTTCGAAATCTGCAAGAAAACGTAGAGCTAATCTTCTTTTCAGATTGCTGAGTATAAGTAACCTCCTATTTGCTTGGCCAAAAACAGCTGCGAGTCAAAGTCAGCATGTGAAGCCATCA